TAGATACTAAACATGGTAGGGTTACATATAGGCAAGATGACAGGAATGGGTTCCATCATAAGCATGCATAAAATAGTCTAAAATATCAAAGACAACATACACAATAGCACAAAGGATATGTGTGTTCATTCAAAGAAAGGTTTTCCTATGGATTAATTAGAGAAGAGTCCATTTCTACCGTGCATTGTGTCTCTTCCTATGGAAAAGGTAGTGATTTTCTCTACTTCGCATTCCTTTGGGCAATAAACCCAGTGATATCAGCGTTGGTTGCCATGGAACCAGAGGCATGTTCTGCCCTCCTGAGGTGTTACGCATTTCGGGGGAAGGGTCCATAGGTCCTCATATGGCTTGTTAACTGAGGGGTGTTACAGAGTATTTGTTAAATATAGCTAACAAAATATATATTGTGTGTTTGATTGGTCCAGACGCTACATAAGAAATATTTATTGAGTACCAAAGCAGCATATCAGAATGATGTCTGAAGGATCATGTGACACTGAAGACTGTAGTAATGATGCTGAAAATTCAGCTTTGCCATCAAAGGAATAAATTACATTTTAAAACATAATACAGTTATTTTAAATTGTAATAACATTTCACAGTATTACCATTTTTACAGTATGTTGATCAAATAAAAGTCTTGGTAAAAATAAGTGACTTCTTTCTAAAATTAAAATCTTACCAAGCCCAAATTTTGTAATGGTAATACAGTATATATATACTGATATCATAAGATAGATATAGATATAGATATGAATGATATAGATATAGACATATATATAGATATAGATAAAGATATATTTACAGTGTCTCCAAAAAGTATGTAGACATTTTTGGACATAAAAATGCATGCATTCAATTACATTAGAAACAAAATATCAGTAAATATTCTGCAAATAAATAATGCCAGAGCTTTTCACAGAACTATATGTGGGTCTATGAAGTCAGTTCTCTAGAAGTTCATACAGACGTGACCACAGGAGTAGTTCATCACATTTACTATGAGCAACATGATCCAGTGTATTTTGTTTTTGGTGTTCAGTCACACTTTATTTTAAGGTCCAATTCTCGCTATCAACAAACCATTAGCTATGACTTTTGCCTCAATAAACTCCTTATTAATAGCTAGTAAGGTTGTTGTTAAGTTCAGGTTTTGGGTAGGATTAGGAGATGTAGAATATGGTCATGCAGAATATGTGCTTTATAAGTACTAATAAACAGCCAATACGTTAATACTAGGCATACTAATAAGCAGCTAGTTAATAGTGACAATTGGTCCCTATACTAAAGTGTTACCTACTGTATGTATCTTTATTAGTACATTTATTAATTTATTAAACAATTTAAAACAAACTTTTTTTTTTGTGAAAAACCTTTCATTAAAATAAATAAATGCTATTTGGTTTGATATTTTGTTATATAATGCAATGACATTTATGCATTTTTAAGTATGGTTTCAGTATCCAAATAGATTTTGTGGCTACTGTATGTGATTTAGAGCAAACACTCTACCCACAGCTACTGTGCCAGTGCCAACTGTTCCATCAACTGTTTTTGGTGTTTATCTGTGCCTGCTGGGGCAAATCTCTTTACAAAACACTGCTTACAGAAACCGAATTAGTGAGGACTCTTCTGAGTAAACAAAACAAATCATAGTTTGGCACAA